TTATAATAATAAAAAATAATAATATTTATTGAAATTCATTAGAAAAATAATATTATTTTTCAATTGATATATTTATATGTAATGTAGTTATATATTGTAAGTTAAAAAAAAAGGTATTTAAATTTTCAAACTACTTTTTCTCATTAATTTTAGATTTTAAGAAAAAAATTAGCAAGCACCCGTGTAATACAGGGTGTTGTACTAGTAAAGAAGAAACCCAAGAACTTTATTTTCCAGTTGTTTTTTTTCTTTATTTTTTTTCCCTACACACACATCAACACACGCACTGCGTGAAAACAATAAAGATTGTAGAGAGAGAGAGAGAGAGAGAGAGAGAGAGAGAGAGCATTAACTCCCTTCATGAGAAAAACAAGCTGCACGCAGAGTAAACCGTACTACACCGCACACCCACGAAGAGAGGCGTTACGAAAAACAAGAAAAGGTGAAAATTTTCAACTGATTGATTGAGTGATTTTATTTTCTCAAATTGAGTAAAGACTAAAAGACTAAAATTTTGTCAATTTCGTAGAAGAAAAATCCCCCCATCGTCATTTTTTCCTGTTTTCTTGCTTTTTTAAAGCTTTGCTTGTGAACTGGTTTTTGTTTTCAAGCTACTTCCTATGTTAACCCTTTTTTTTTTTCCCCTACCATTTTAATTCAATGTACGACAGAAAAGGAAAAGAACAAAACAATCTTTTGCTGGCTTTATTAGTATTTTTATAGTCATACAATTTTGTTTGTTTTCATTTCCTTTTCTCCTGGGTTTTGGGAGGGAGCGCCGCTTGTGCTGCAATCTAAATATTCGATTCTGTTTCTTGATTTCGATCTGATCTGACTGCAAAGTTCGTTAACTTTCTCAGGGGAGATGAATGATTGTTCAACATTGGCATTCTCAGAGAAGGTAAAAATCAAGAAATGTACATATATTTTTTTTAATCCTAGTTTTTTTGGGAGTTTTTCGTTTCTTATGGTTTATATGGTGATGTGAGGCACGAACTGGATCGATTTATGATCAAGAAGAAGCTTTGTCTATCCCTGGGTTTCTTGGGTTCTTTTGCGTTGCAGGTTTAATGGAGTTGAATTTAATTGGGCAATGGTTTTTCTGAGCATTTTCTGATTTGGAAGGGATATATAGTTTTCAGTAATTATAATTTTCCTTCTCTATTACTCTAAGATTAGATTGTTTAAGGAGCCGTATATTCTCAAATTAGACCTATACTTCAGAATGCACCAAGCCGTGCTTTTAGTATAAGAGAGATGTTTGATATTAAACCCCTGTCTGAATTGATTCCTTTTAGTCCCTGTTCTTTTAGTGATCTCTAATCAATTTTTTTTTTTTTCTTAGAAAATACCCGTTTTCGTAACTTTTTGAAACTTTCGATTGATTTTTGTCATTTGACGATTATTTGTAACAGTAACCATGCCGCACGGTGCCATAGATTCGCTCGTCGAGGGAGTTAGTTCCTTAAAGATAGTTCCCAAAACCACTGGTAATGCAGAGTATAATTCCTCGTCTGCACTCGCAACAACTCGTCCCCCTAACCCTCCATTTACGAAGAAATTGAAAAACGAAGGAAGCTCGTCTAAATCCACCTCAATCCCTACTGATCATGGTATGAGAACCTCATATCCACCATCTGCCTCCATGCTTATCTCAAAACACTACTTTGAAAAGCACAATATGAAGCAAAAGGGCGATCACAAACCAAAAGAGGAAGTAAAATACCGATTTCATTGTGAAATAGAGGAAGGTAATGCTCAGAATCACCTTACGCCTCTTAAAAGCCATGGAAAGATCCACCCACCATCTGCTAATGCTGAGAAGAACCGCGATTCGGATGAAATTCTTGATTCTGTGAATTTATCCTCCTTTCCGAATAATGGACTAACTGTCGACTTCACCAATCCCCGGTTACAATCTAAATCCGGAACTAGCTACTGCCTGAGCCCCCAGGGCAGTTTCTACTCGGCCACGAATTACACAGAGGCAAAACAGAGCTTCTCAGCGAGTAGCCTGGGAAAATCCGTAGAGAGTGGTGAAATTAACAACTCGTTTGAATTCATCGAGAGCAGGAAAACCAGTAGCATTAACCGGGCCAGCACGGGCAGTGACATCAGTGACGAGAGCAGCTCGGGTAGCTTTAGCAGTGCGCATTACAAGCCGCACAAGGCGAATGACGTGAGGTGGGAGGCAATCCAGGCTGTCCGGTCGCGAGGAGGTGGGGCCCTTGAGCTGAAGAATTTCAGGATTTTTAAGAGGTTGGGGTGTGGGGATATAGGGAGTGTTCATTTGGCAGAGCTGATTGGGACTAGGACTTTATTTGCTATGAAAGTCATGGACAAAGATGCCCTCGCTAGTCGGAAAAAGGTTCTGCGGGCTCAGACAGAGAGGGAGATTTTGCAGTCTCTCGATCATCCTTTTTTGCCGACATTGTATACGCATTTTGAAACGGAGAAGTTTTCCTTTCTTGTGATGGAGTTTTGCTCGGGGGGCGATTTGCACGCGCTTAGGCAGAAACAGCCCGGAAAGTTTTTCCCGGAGCATGCAGCAAGGTATGATTTTGGTTAGATTTGCTGCCTTTGATATAAGTGTGTGTGTGTGTGTGTGTGTGTGTGTGTAACTAATTTAATGTTTGTCATGAACATATATCTTTTTTGTCGAGTCATTTATGATTTATGAATTTATTGTTCTCAAGCTACGAGGATGTTGTGATATATGTTGATTATTTGGCATTGAGGTTATTTGGCAGATGTGAAATGGTGTCTTTATTTGTTAAGTTGACCAAAAGTTTAAATGTAGATATTTTACCATCACAGTTTCATCATCTGAATGTTTATAACTAGATTCTACTGCTCAACTACACCATTTCAAAGACTTCGCACTTAAGATGCTCTCTCTCTCTCTCTCTCTCTCTCTCTCTCTCTCTCTCTCTCTCTCTCTCTCAATAGGAATAGTTTATTAATCTCTGGACTTGGTTGTAAGAACTCTCCTTTGACCAATAAGTGAGTAAATTCTCCTTGACCAACAAGTGAGCGCATGCTGTTAGTTTATGCGCATCTGTTGTTTTTCACATCTTTTTGGTGCTTTTTGTTTGTTTGTTTGTGATTTTTTTTTTTTTTTTTACCCAACACAGTTGATTTATCTTCTGTACAAAAGTTATGTAGCAATTGCATGGATATATATACCCCCACTTTATTTTCATATTAACAAGTTCTCCAATAATTTAAGCTTTCACATAATTCAAGTTTGATCCTTCATGCGAAAACCCTTCCACAGGTTTTACCTTGCTGAAGTCCTCCTGGCCCTCGAGTACCTCCACATGCTCGGGATCATCTACCGAGACCTAAAGCCCGAAAATGTCCTCGTTCGTGAAGACGGCCACATTATGCTCTCTGATTTCGACCTCTCCTTGAGATGTTCCGTAAGCCCCACACTCGTCAAGTCCTCCAACTCCAACCTTAACTCCAAAGCCTCTGGGTACTGCATGCAGCCCGCTTGCCTCGAGCCCACATCCTGCATCGTCCAGCCCACCTGCTTCGGCCCGCGTCTCCTGGGTAAGCCCAAAAGGTACCGAAATCCCAGAAAAAACACAGAAATGCAGCACAGTCAAGTGACCCCACTCCCCGAACTCATAGCGGAGCCCACAAACGCACGGTCCATGTCTTTTGTGGGCACCCATGAATACCTGGCGCCCGAGATCATCAAAGGCGAGGGGCATGGCAGTGCAGTTGACTGGTGGACTCTCGGGATTTTCCTATACGAGCTGCTTTTCGGGCGGACCCCATTCAAAGGTTCGGGTAACCGGGCGACCCTGTTCAATGTGGTGGGGCAGCCGCTGAGTTTCCCCGAAACTCCTACTGTGAGCTTTGCTGCCCGAGACCTTATTCGGGGACTGCTGGTGAAGGAGCCGCAGCACAGGCTGGCGTATAGGCGTGGGGCAACCGAGATCAAGCAGCACCCATTTTTTCAGAGCGTGAATTGGGCTCTCATACGGTGCGCAAGCCCACCGGAGGTCCCGCAGCCTTTTGTGATGGGCAAGGATGAGGTTGGGCCTGGGCTTGTGACGGGTAAGATGGCGGCTGTTGACGTGAAGTCATCCGGGAATTACTATGAAATAGATTTTTTCTAGATTTTTTTTTTTTTTATTCCTCTCTTTTTGGGGGGATTTGCTGAGAGGTGTTTGGATTTTATCTGGCTGAAGTTTTATGTTCTTTATGTGTTTTGTTGAAGGCCAGTGTAAATTGGGATAGGCCTCTGTGAAAATGAACTGAATAAGCATTTTTTCTTTAATGATTTTTGTGATATTCTGGATCCAAAATTTGGTGTAATGAAATTCTGCTCCATCAATTGGCACATAATTAGTATCTATAAGAACTATAATTGAAAGTGTATTTACCTCCAAAAAAACTAGAGTGAAAAGACCAATACTATTGTTAAGTGAAACAAGTCGTTTGTGAGAGCGATCGAGCTCGTTTAAAGCTTAAAATATGAATGGATTTTTTGGTAATATTTTTTTTTTTTTTTGGCTTTTAGCATAATCGGCTCGGGAAAGATCAAATTCATTTATCAGCTCGAAATTCGAATATCAATAGTTCGAATTCGGCTCCACTTTGTTTACTACAAAAACTAAACACGAATTCGGCTCGACTCGTTTTACTAGATTGAGTTGAGCCTGGCAATCATCTTCTCCACAAGCTGAATAGAACCCCCTCTCTTTCCCCCTCTATCGATCTTCCTCATAACCTCTTCGACCAAAACGCTCTTCGAATGCCTAACCCTAGCCGGCCCGCTTTCGGAGCTCTCCCGGAGCATCATCATCAGCGCCTTGGCCTTCTCCCTCGCCCGCCGGTTGCCGTCGACGCTAAGCTGCATCAGCCCCGGCATAGCCCCTTCCCCGAGGATCACCCCTCTGTACCTCTCCCGGCAGCTCCTGCATATCACCGCCAGAATCGCCGCCGCGTGTTCCTTGCACGCCGCCGTCCCCTCCTCCACTGCCTCCACCAGCAGCCCGATCGCGCCACCGATCTCCGCCACCAGGCTCACCGCTGATTCCGACGAGGAGATGAGAGATTCGAGGAGCGCGACTGCCTTCTCCGCCAGATCCGATGATTTATCGGCGTCGCAGATCAGGTGAATCAGCCGGATTAAGCCGTCGGAGAGGATTGCGGACGGTAGGGTTTCGGGGGAGACCAAGAGGTTGTGCAGTGTGGATATGATGTCGAGCTTGGCTTGATGGCTGACGGCCTCGCCGTTTGGGGATTCTGAGTCGAGAAGCTCGAAGAGGAGCTGAACCGCGCCAGAGGATGCAATTTCGGGCTTATTCGCAGCGCACGACGAGAGGATCAACAGAGCCGCCAGGGCAAGCTCGAGCAGGGACTCGTTCCGCCATTGGAGGACCTTCAGTAATGCTTGCGTGGCCCCTGATTTCGCTATTCGGATTTTGTTCCTGCAAAAATTTCAAATTAAATCAGCCTTGATTTTAATCCTGAAAATTTTCAAATTAAATCAGCCTTTTAACTGATAAATTTTATGAAGTGATATTTATATCATCAATATACCAACCTTTCACTGCCAAAGGCAAGGTTGAGCAGAGCCAAGAGAGCTGCTTCTATTGATTCATAATCTTGGGACTCGAGCATGAAAATCAACTGTGGAATTGCTCCATTTTCGGCTAACTTTTGTCTTTCATTGCGACCAAGCTTACAGATTTCCCTGGCGGCGAAAATCCGAGCTTCCCGCTCACCGAATAGAAGAGTTTCTGCTATGGCTGTCTCCATATCCTCTGGATTTCAGCCAAAGCTTTTCAAAATTTGTGTTGAGGGGACAGAACAGAAGTTAGGTGAGTATGATAAAACTGCAGTGCAAATTATATTGTAAATTATGTGATGTTTGATTGCTTGTTGAGGGTGCAAGGTTATTTGCTTTTTTGGGTTCTAAGGAAGAAAAATGTGTCTTTCTGATAATTGTTTGAGCTTGAAGCAAAGCACTTAACCACTTCAATCTTATATATATATATATATATATATATATAGCTGCCCCAATGTGGAAATAGCTTTGGAGTGAATGTGAGAGTGAATCTTCCCTTTCCTTTTATAGAAATAACCGCCGTTAGCTTCACGGGAACAGTGAGGAATATTTTAATTTGGAGAGCTCATAAAATGAGGTATGTTAATGTGTTTGCTTGCACTCGCAAATATTTTTACTTCTAATGACTAGAACAAAATTATCTCGTAAAGATAAAAATAAGAAACTTCGGAGAAGAAATATAATCCTAATTCTATCCATGAAAATAAGAAACTTCGAAGAAGAAATATAATTCTAATTTTATCCATGATATGAGTAGACGTATAATCCTAATTCTACCCGTTCTAGGAGAATTACATACCATTTTAGTCAAAGTCATACTCACATTTTATAAGAGCATCTCCAATGCTCAATGTTGTAGTGGTATTTTACTTTCTACATCAACACATTTATTAGTATCACAATTGTCCATCCTCCAATGTACAATGTGATCACAAATGTTGTGATGATGTGGACATAATTAATGTCTACAATGTAGAGAAGAATGTGGTTCATTCACATTCTACGCCACATTCTAATTAGCCAATGAGGAGAAGAGAGATAATTATTATCATTTTCAAACTATTTAATTATTTTATTAATTTTATTAATTCATATTAAAATTTTAGTATTTGGCAAGTAGATAATATTGTAATTAGGCAACATTTTGCATTGAAGATGGTTTTTTAATTTAATAGTTGTGAACTCAACATTTGTCCTACATGGTTCACAATCTATTTAATCTTTTGACATTTGTCAAAAAAAATTTTATAACAACATTAGAGCATTGGAGATGCTCTAAGACATCAGTAATCTGTCAAATATATATTTACGGTAACTAAATTTGATTATTAATTTAATTAAGATCAAGTAACTATATTATCCACATAATACAGTAATGTAAAAATTTACAAATTCAACCTTAACGGTGTGGAAAATTACATGCATGCACATCTAACATTGTGGGGGCCCCATGCCAAGGTCAGGACAATAATTAGTGGGTGACTGAATACAAATATATCCGTTTGAATGATTTTTTTTTTTTTTTTTTTGGTTAATATTAAAAAAATTAGTATTGTTAGATGTTAATGGGTTGAGTTTATTTAAAATAAAATAAATAAAGTTAATTTGAGGTGAAAGTAGTAGAAAGATAGCGTGAACAAATGTTTAGCTAAATTATGTGGGTAACGGAATAATGAAAAGTTGATGCGATGTGTAAAAATTATTGATGAATACTATTTAATTTAATTATATTGATAATATTAAAAATAGTGATATTGAGTTAAAGTTCGTTATATTTTGAGTATAATTTTGAGTTAGTTATACACAAACATCCTTAGAATTTGTATGCACTCACACCGGTCAGAACAATTAAATCATATGCATGTATATTTGTTCATTCATGTGAGTGTTAAAGTTGCAAAATATTCATGGTGGTAGTGTTTTGTGAAATATAAATAGGTTGTATTTTGTAAGATGATTAGGGTGTTTTATAATGATTGTCGAGTTGCAAAATATTCATAGTAGTGTTCTGTAAAATATGTTTTGTATGTATTTTGTAAGATGGTTGGTGTTTTATAATAATCCACATGGTTTTGAAAACCGAATCGGTCATCAAATCGGTGAAGCTTTGGTTTAGTGGATCATTGGTCGGACCAGTGGTCGAACTGGTTTAATTAATATATAATTTTTATTTATTTTATATGTATAATATATAATTATATATTTTTATCATTAATTTTATAGTGTATGACATTTTTCTAAATAATAACTTCATAATAGATACAACTGACAATGTTGATTAATATTTATAATTTCTTAATGAGTACAATATTGCTTGTAGGGCCCAATAAATTTAGCAAGAGAACATATGCCAAATTAGAAACACAAGTAAAAGATGTGCTATTTAAACCACTTCCCATTTCTCAATCAACACATTTCAAATTCAAAAGCTCGAACAGTTCACCAATTTTTGACCAGTTCGAATGTTAAGCGGCTTGATGTGGCAAACCGGACAGGAATGAAGGCCGGTTCCCGGTCCAGTTTTCAAAGCTATAATAATTCAATATGACATTATCGTGACACCATGTATGCATAGTTAATCTATACATGTTTGGTAAGTTTCAATAAATTTTATTCATCCAATAATTAATTATAATAAAATTTTATTAAGCCAATAATTAATTATAATAGTAGTTCATTTAATAAAACTAGGTGTTCATTTAACAAAAATATGTTCACCATTTAATAAAAATATGTAAGTTTAAGTTACACTATTAATCTGACATGTCCAATTTTAGATGGTGCATATTTCTGTAACACTATTTATGTCTTGAAATACAAAATACTTTTATTTTTATTTTGATATTGTACATATTTTGATATTATATAAATACATATTTCACAACTAATTAAGAACTAGTACAACACCCGTGTATTACACGGGTGCTTGCTAATTTTTTTCTTAAAATTTAAAATTAATGAGAAAAAGTAGTTTGAAAATTTATATACCTTTTATAAGAATATATATTATTATATATTTATTATGACACTTTTTATTTGTGCAACTTACTTGTATTATATTATACTATTTTTTTTAACTTACAATATATAACTACATTATATATAAATATATCAATTGGGAAATAATTTTATTTTTCTAATGAATTTTAATAAATATTATTATTTATTATTATTATAAAGATATATATAATTTATTTATTTTGTATATACAATATGGATGTCAAATCGAAGATCATCAAAAGATGATTAATTTGATATATTATATATGTAAAACCGATAAGAAATACAAAAGTTATCAACTTTTACAATACATTTATAATTCAATAGCTTATTGAATGAAACAAATCAAAATTCAGGGATATATTAGTCACTTAGTTCTTCACTTGTAAAATTACAAAGAATTAAAGGGTTATATTAGTAAAAGTGATATTAAAATACCTAAGTTAGCTAAATAATATTTATGGAATACCCGAACCTAGATTATTAATTATTAGTATATTAATATTATTTATCCAAACCTAATTACGAATCATGGTTGTTCGCCAAATAAGATTCCGAAGCACCAGAAGCAACCACGTAGGCTCAGCGCATTCGAAAATTATATATAGGGAGGATGACTACAAATTCTATTGCAGTCATACAATAATTTTTTTTTTATATATATTTACAAAGCTACATCAAATATTTTGAAAAATCAAATCTCATGATATAAAACCCTCCTCCAAAATGGTCCTGCAATATATTTAAAATTTATAATATTATATGTATAAATATAATTTTTAATACTCTATGTTTAAAGTTTAATATCATTATCTAACTTATAATTCTAATATATTATGCATATAAATAACTTATAATATTTTAGTTATATATGTACAAATGTACATGATCGAATACTTGTACATGTGATTGAATTAGGGTTGGAATTTTATTTTTATTTTTAAAGGAGGATCAATAGTGTTCTCACTTCTCCTCCTCGGAAGCTCGAAAATATTTTATTTATACATGTACAAATGCACATGATCGAATACTAGTGTGATTGAAATATGCTGGAATTTTATTTTTATTTTTAAAGGAGGGTCAATAGTGTTCTCACTTCTCCTCCTTAGAATTTTATTTTTATTTTTAAAGGATGATCAATAGTGTTATCACTTCTTCTCGAACCCACGATCTATAAATCATAAGTGAAGAGTCTTACCACAAGCTGCACTCGCTGTCTAAAATAAGACACGAATATGAGAAATGGTAAGTACTAAAGTAAAAAATAAAGATAGAAAATGAAAAACCTTTTTATAGATAGGCAAAAACAGGAATCGAATTTGAAAAAAATTGAAAAAATAGTGAATACTAGAGTAAAAGGAAAATAAACAAACTGAATAACTTCAAGAAATAAAGTTAAACGCAATGGAGAAAATAAGTAACTCTTGTACAGAATAAAGGGAACTAAAAGATGAACTAAATACCTCTTTTATAATAATACCAAAATAAAGGAAATTAAAGAATAGAACTGAATAAGAAATTAAATGAAGGAGATAAATATATCGTTTTATAATATTTTTTATTTTACATTAAAATACACCTTGGGATTTACGTTCCATTCTTTTTCTTGCTTTGGTTTTTGAGCATAACAAACTTGGTATATATTTAGTATTGGTACTTTGAATGCAGTCTGGTTTTGCCGTCAACTTGATGGAACCAATCTATTAGGACAAAAATATTCATTCAAAAATCTTTATATGATTATTTCAATTACTAAAAAAATAAAAAGATGGGATATTACTAAAAAAACAAAACAAAAAGATAGGATCAGTAACAAATTTTAAATCTTAATTTTATAAAATATTATTTATCTACATTAAATTCAATAAACGTTTCCATCTCATTCATTTATAGAGTTGTTGAAAGTTTGAAACCAATAGAAAACATAAAAGATTGAAAGATAAAAATATCTTATAAGTTTTAGAAAATGGTTTAGAATTATTAACAATACATAATATCCTAAAAACGCTTAGTATGTTTTATATATAAACAAGCAACACATTTGATTATTTTTTATTAATAAACATATTATATTAAAAAATAATAATATTTAAATTAACTACAAATTTTTTTTAGCAAAAAATAAAAGCAATTTTGAATAGTTTAAAACAGGGACAGATCCGGAAATTAAGAGTAGATTGAACTAGAATTTTAAAAAAATATTTTCACAAAAATGTCATAATATTTTTTTTTTCAATTATTCACTGAAGTTGTGGCCGACGAGTTTTTACAAAAAAATAAAAATCATTATGCTCATTTTGCACTGTATTTGATGTGCTTTCACTAGTTTGATGTCGATCCTATTTTTTAAATAATAATGATATCAACTGAATTTTTCCTTTCTTGGCCGAAGGTTGGTGCTCCATTTGAATTTGTAAGAATTCAACAATACAAATAAATATATTTTTCATATGACATAGTTATTTGCAAAATGAAATGCATACAAAACATAAATCTATATCCAACTATGATATACAATAACCACACTAGATGAAAAGAGATTAAACACACACACACACACACACATACACACTAGTAATAACTATTAAAACCCTAACTAGCTCAATTAAAATGAGAAGATAGACAAAGACAATTAGACAAATAAAATAAATATGTAATAGGGGGTTTAAAAATATAACGTACTATTAAATAAGAAATTAAATCGTCTTTGTGGAAGTAGTTCTTCCTGTTGAATAGTTTTTTTTTTTTTTTCCTTCTAAATTTATTTTTACGGTTTTTAGAGGAGGGATATGGCCGTGGCTAATTTATTGATTGAAGTTTGGTGTACAGTGGTGTTTTGTGAGTAAATGCATAATAGAACATGAGTAACATATAATATTTTATTAAAGTTGTGTTAGTAGTCTTTGGACTTAATTGATAAATAAATAATTTAGTGGCTTAATAAACTAATTTATTGAGTTGTGCTAGAAATACAATAATATTAAAAAAATAAAAAAAAATAAAAGGCCTGGGCTAAAGCCCAGCCCAGGCTATATATAGATCCGTCCATGGTTTAAAATATAAATGCACAACATATAAAACTATCCGTTAATGTTTATCAATTCGAAATTTTTTATATCTATCCATAATTTAAACATTTAAAAAAAACTTATTGACGTTTCATAACTTTCGTGCCTCGATCAAACATCGTTGTATCCCCTTAACAATCCCGATCTTGTTGGGTGACGTAACCCATATATTAAGCTCAAGTTTGCATACAAAGTCCAAGATTGCGGGAGATCGCTCCTCAGACGACCTGTCCAAAGACCCCTCGATCGGCACGACAATCGCTTGCAAGTGGCCACTGATCGCTTTGATGACACGTGCTTGTTCTGAGAAAAAAAAAAAGCCCGCAACATCGCTCATCGCGTCCCATCACCTATTTGCATTGATCCACGCGGACCACACTACGCCCCACGTTGTCGCCCTATATTGTTGGGATGCCCATACCACCGAAACCCTGAAAATGGCTATAAAATCTGGCCTCTATTGAAGGGGAAAAGGGGGTCGAAAAAGCTTAAGAACATCTCTCCTTACAAGTTCTAAAAAAATAGAGCATCATTGTAGCCCCTTACTCATCCCAGAAATCAGCCCTAGCCGATCGGCTTTTCTTGTTTTCAGATCGCACGTGTAAACATATTTATCAATAAAATAGGCTCGGAGATTTAAATCTCCTCGTTGTGTCTGTTTACGGGCCTGACAAATCGGTGTCGATTTAATTTCTATGATTTCATTTATTCCATTACAAAATTAATCCCCTAAACCGTTATTACTTCAACAAATAACACCCAATTATGTTGCCTTAAATTCATAAATCTCATAATTGTTAGCGATTGACGTAAATTTCTAATTTAGCATGTTTACATGATTAAAATTTTTTGATGAAAAATAAGTGAAATAAAAAATAAAAATGAATAAATATTATTTTCTTCAACTAATTGATGAAATAATAATTTATAAAATATATCCAATTGGAGCTTAAAATTATTCTTGCGATTGCGATTCAACCTACTACTTGACTGGGGAAATGCTTTCTGTACTTCTGTACTTGGAGCCGGACGAGTAGAGTGGGCCAGGCATTAATAAACCCAACTAAATGTGAAAAGACTGACCTTTCCAAATAAGCCCACTGGGCCAAGTGCTATTTTCGCTCGTGAAAAAATAAAAAAAATAAAAAAATAAAAAAATAGTATAATAACCGAAAATGAAAATCTCTGTCCCAGAATCCATTCCATCCCATCATATGTGATATTTTTTATTACAATGATCGATTAGATTTACGTCACTTTCGTGAAGAAAACGGACTGAAAATTGGTGGACGATTCTTCAAGCTCCGTAATGATTTTATGATAAGATATTTTTTCGATCGTTTTTTTGTTGCGCTAAGTGTGCAGTTAGTTTCACATCTTTTCATTTTTTTTTTTTTTTTTTTTTTTTTTTTGCAATATTGTCGATCGATTTTTCAACCATTTTGTGACCAATTTGGTGTTACAGGTTTCAATTTGGTTGGGCGTGCGAAAACCTAAACCGATCGCGAGTTTCTTCCGACGAGATAAGCACGATGCCGGTGAACGTAATCCAGGACGGCGATGGATCGGGTCGGGTCATATTGTCCGAACCTACCGGCTCTACAGTTGAGGTTTGTGCTTTTTTGGTCTCAATTTGGTGTGATGTTCATGTTAATCAATGGGATTATTACAGTTCATCCTGTGCTCGGGTTTGCCTTTGTGCTCACGCTTATTTCGTTTTCCTCATATGCAAAAATGACTAGAGTTATATTGTTCTGCATGCGTGGGGTATAAGTTTCATCTGCTTACCTTAATGTATTACTAGGAGATGAAGATGCGACTCGAAACCGTAATGCTGGGATGATATGTAGTGAGAATTTGTGCTTTTCTGGTCTCAATTAGAATGTAATGTTCATGTTAATCATCGATGGGATTATCGCATTTTGTGCTGTGTTTGTGCTGAGTGTAATTTCGTTTTTCACATATGCAAAAATGACTATTGTTAATTATATTGTTCTGCATGAGTGGGGTATGCGTTTCATCTGGTCACTTAATGACAAATTTTAGTGGGAGATGAAGATGCCAATCGAAACGTTGATGCTTGGATGATTGTAGTGAGAATTTTTTCATTTGTTGCGCTAGGTGCTTTTATATGGTGGGCAGGTGATATCTTGGAAGAATGAGAAAAGAGAGGAGATGCTCTTCGTGACCAATAAGGTGAGGTTAATATATGGTTAACATATATTTGTCCTTTTGTGATTAATACTTGGCAAATTACAGTGGAGAGATATATTAATAAAATGGTTATGGCCTTCCATGGATATGCATTGGTTTATAGAACTCTGTGTCAATGCAGTTGAAATTCGTAGTGTACTACGAATTTTTTTGGATCTATAGTGTGTCCTTTGAATTTGATTATGTTATTTGTGCAAATGTGTGCATATCATGTTGATCAATAGGCTTTATGGAAGCCAGGAAAAGGTATCAGGGGTGGAGTAGCCATTTGCTTCCCGCAGGTTTGTTACCGACTTAATTACCAAAACAATTAGTAGCCTTTATCTTTTATTTACTCTCTCACGTGTCATCAAATGCACATTTTAGTTTGCTAATTTTGGTTCACTGGAGCAACCTGGGTTTGCTAGAAATAGAATGTGGTCGTTAGACAGCTCTCCTTCACCTTTGCCCCCTGTGACCAATCAAGCAACAGTGGATATTATGCTAAAATCCACAGAGGAGGATTTGAAGACTTGGCCTCATAGGTGAGGAGGCTATGATGATCTACTAATTAACTCTAAATTGGGGGATTCTAACCCAGCTTTTTTTTGGGTTCTAATGTTTGCAGGTTTGAGTTGCGTTTACGAATTTCCTTGACAGCTGGCAAGCTCACCTTGATCCCTCGCGTGCGGAACACTGATAATAAGGCGTTTCCTTTCACATTTGCTTTGTGCAATTATCTGACTGTGTCTGATATCAGGTTTTGGTTATCTCTTAACAGAAAATTCTCTTGCTTGAAAGTTGAAACTATTCATGTACGAATAATTAAATATGGCAATCACGTTTTTGTTTCTGCTGGATGGATTCCGAACACTGCTTTACTTTTGCAAATCTGCTATATTATTTATCCTTTCCAGATAGGTTGTGTGATACTTTTTGATATTTTAGTGAAGTGCGGGTCGAGGGCCTGGAGACACTTGACTACTTTGACAATTTGTCACGAAGAGAAAGGTACACAGAGCAGGCAGATGCAATTACTTTTGATGGTGAGGTAATGTGTTTTCTTTTTCTTTTTCTTTTTTACCACCTACCATAGCAAAGTCCAAATGTATATACTAGGTCTAAGATGGGTTTGCCAAAGGAAGCTTTTTGAGCTCAACTTTTTGCCTAACAAAGATTCTTCTGAAATCCAAAATACTGTACAGCAATTCCTTATATGTTGCTTCTTAATAGATTGATCGAGTGTATTTAAGCACTCCAACAAAGATAGCTATAATAGACCATGAGAAGAAGAGAACCTATGAGATCCGCAAAGAAGGCATGCCTGATGCAGGTTCTTACCATCATCTCATTTCCCCTTCTTTGATGTAATTTGATTTTTGTGCTCGGTTACAGGTTTTTTTTTTTTTTTTT